ACAAATAAATGTACTCTTTGCTAATTTGCTTAAAAAAAATCTCCCTATAGGAAACAGAGGTGTTTCTGTGGCTCCTGACAAGTGTTCTGAGCTTTGAGAAATGCCACACTACTTTTCTTTTGACATGAGATCAAGACTTGAGAAGAGTGCCACCTTCTGTCCAATTTGTGATATTGCAAGTAATCTCCAAATGTTGAATGATATTTTTTTTTTCAATCTGTCTGCCAGTTTGTGTGTCATTGTATTAAAAGTGACTCTGGAGACACCTGCTGTTTGTCTGTCTGTGCTTAGTTTAATCCAATTACCATCCTGTAAGATAAGCCCCCACTTTTTTTTATCTCTCTTTTACAGGTCGCAATGAATTAATAGCGAGGTACATCAAGCTGAGAACAGGCAAAACCCGGACAAGAAAACAGGTAATCAAGTTTTTTACGACTTTAATGTTTGGGTCCAGCTGCTGACTGGGTGACGTAGAAAAAATCCATCATCAAAACAGCTTTGTCTGGTGGCTTCCTTAAAAAAAGTGGATTATGAGTACTTCAGAGGACAAGTCTGGTTTTAAAATTTACTGTATTATTATTATTATTATTAACAATTGATTTGATTTTGGACAAAAATAGTATAGACCACAAATTATCAAACTGAAACATTAAACAAATACATTTTGTCTTTATAAATAAACCTTTAACTTATCATTTTTTATTGATTAGTTCATTCAATTAACTGTCTAGACTTTAATATGAAAAAATAACGGCTTTGTCCTTTAAATCCACTTTCTTATTTTATGTGTAGATTTCTTAGTGTGTGTGTCATGATCCTGTAAAAGGTGTGTGTGTAGGTGTGTGTGTGTGTGGATCAGCACTTGTATAGATGTGTGGCCTGTGTGCATGGATCTGCATGCATGTTATTTTTATGCTCAAATGATGTTTCACACCCCTTTAGGTGTCTAGTCACATACAGGTGTTAGCACGGAAGAAAGTTCGTGAATACCAGGCGGGTATAAAGGTAGGTGCTGCCAGCCTGCCTCCCGGCAACACTGACTGGGCGTCTCTTTCCTCTTTGGTTACGGCTTCTCTCTTTCTTCTCTTCTCTCTCTGTCTCCTTTCTTCTTTCCTCCTCTTGGCTATTTTTCTGTGCAGGTTTCTAGCCACTTGCAGGTTCTCGCCCGGAGAAAATCTCGCGAGATCCAGTCAAAGCTAAAGGTATGCGCTTCACTGCGGCCTGTGGGGCTGGTAAATGCTTGGCTTGGCACTAACCTGCTAATTTGTGAATATATTTATCAGTCCTTGCTTTAAGATGAGGTTTATTCTGGCTGCATAAGTAGATGCAAGCTTGCCATGCGCATTATTGTTTAACAGTTAAGCTTTAGAAATCATCATAATATTGCATCTGTGCCATGCATACAATGCACCGACAGAGAGAGTTTTTACTACGATTTTGAGCTGTAGGAATGCATTCAATCTCATCCTCTGAATTATTCTATCTCATTCTCTAGCCTCTACTTGAAATGAATGCTGCACAAGCTGATGAAATTTGAATGAAAGATCATTTAGCTGCATGTTGCTCCAGCTATGTATCTTTCCTTTGTGCCAGTCATGCTGCTGCATCACACTTACTGCCAGGTGGCAGTTGCTGGCAGAGACAGT